TGAGCACTTCAAAGCCGTCAAGCAAGAACTAGAAACTCGTACTAATTCTGGAGAGGCTAATTGTCGGATTAAGTACATTAATGGAGTGCCAAGAGTAATTTCTTTAAACTAAAAAAGCCCAACAGGTCCAGTAACAACAATGAATCCATTTCTGTTTATTACCAGAATGTTAGAGGACTCAACAGTAAAATAAATGAATTTTATCCAAGTGTAAGTGAATGTGAATACAACATAGTGGCTCTTAGTGAGACGTGGTTGAAGCCGGATTTTAACTCATATGAACTGTTTCCGTCCAATTATGATGTTTATCGAAGTGATAGAAAACTGGAGCGTCTAAACTTAACAACTGGTGGTGGTGTCTTATTGGCCATTGATGCTTCAATAAAATCTTCCATTATTGACACTTCTCAGTATGGTGAACTATTTCCGGAAATTGATTTTATAGTGTGCAAGTGTTCTGTCTCATTCAAAACATTTCACGTAGCTCTTGTTTACATACCGCCATCACTCTCTTATGATAAGTTCGAAAATTTTTTTGAGGTACTTGAAGGTTGGGAGGTATCTCACTCCTCTCATGTAGTGTTTATAGGAGACTTCAATTGTCCCAATTTTGTACATGTTAATCTTGATGACGGAAAAACTCGCACACTTAATCATTGGTTGGCTTTGTTAGATATGCAGCAGTTTAATTCTATTCTTAATAACGATAGTAAGATGTTAGACCTAGTGGTGAGTAATTTTAATTGTACTGTAGATCGAGATTATGTAACATTAGTACCTGAGGATGCACACCATCCTTCTTTGTCTATTAAACTAAATGGTATCTACATTAAACATTGCAATTTCGAAATAAACGGTGGCAATAAGGCATATAATTTCAAAAGGGCTGATTTTCTCTCGCTATATAATGATTTTTTAGAATGCAATTGGGATTTCCTAGAAAATCTAACCGAAACTAATAGGGCAGTTGAAAGTTTTTATGCCAAATTCTATGAGATCCTTGATAAGCATGTTCCACTGTACAAAAATTTTAGTCACAAATATCCATCTTGGTATACAACCGAAACCATTAAACTTATAAAAGATAAAGCTAAATTGCATATGAAATTCAAAAAAACAGGCAATGTTGTGTACTATCAAGAATTCAGTAGAATAAGGGCGTTAGTAAAAAATAAAATTAAAGATGCGTATATGCTATATTTGCAAAATGTTCAAGTCCAGTTAAAACATGAACCCAAATATTTTTGGGCATTTCTAAATGACAAGAACAAAAAATCAAGAATACCAGGTCGAATGACCTACGAAAATGAGTTAATCGATGATCCCTTGTTAATAGTAAAGGCCTTTAGTAGATTCTTCAAAAGTGTTTATTCTCTCCCTGACCCCAATGGTGGTAACTTAAATTTTCGAACTAATATTAATAACGTAATTCAAATTAATTGTGAGCCGATAACCGAGAACGAGATTTTGGAGGCGGGAAAAAAGTTGAAAAATAAAATGACTGCAGGACCAGATAAAATTCCATCTTTTCTTTTGAAAGATTGCTTAAGAGTGCTGACTAGTGCCTTGCAAATCATTTTTAATTTAATTTTGAAAACATCAGTTTTCCCTGATGCCTGGAAAATTGCGAAAATTTGCCCGGTGCATAAATCTCAGGATCGTGCCTCGGTTAGCAATTATAGGCCAATATCCATCTTAAACAATGTTGCAAAAGTCTTGGAGAGTGTACTTTACAACCGCTTATATACGGCAGTAAGTAACAAAATATCTATTCGCCAACATGGATTTATGAATTACAGATCAACTACGAGTAACCTTGCAGTTTTTAGTCAGTTTTTGTGTGAAACTTTGGATAATCGAGGGCAAGCGGATGCAGTGTACACGGATTTTTCTAAGGCTTTTGACAGGATTGATCACAATATACTTCTTTGCAAACTTTCAAGCTTAGGATTCAATAACACTTATTTAACCCTGCTAAATTCATATTTACACAATCGTCAACAATATGTATATTACAACGGGTTCTGCTCAGATACTTACTGTTCAACAAGTGGAGTCCCACAGGGATCAAACTTGGGTCCCTTGCTTTTTTTGTTATTTGTAAATGACATAAGTGATACATTAAACTGTAATGTCTTAATGTTTGCTGATGACTTGAAGCTATACTCATCTATTTCTTGTTTTGAAGATTGTTTAGCATTACAGGAACAGATCAACATTTTAGAAAATTGGTGTGAGGAAAACAAGCTTTATTTAAATCCCACTAAATGTAAGATTTTATCGTTCAGCCGCAAATCCAGTAACATTGAGTATCCCTATCGTATTGATGGCACAGTTCTTGAACGGTGCGAAACTGTTAAAGACTTAGGGGTTTATTTCGACATTGGGCTTACTTTTAATAGTCACATCAACACGATTGTCAATTCAGCATTTCGTACTCTTGGATTTATTATCAGAAATTGCAGAAATTTTCAAGATATATTAGCTCTTAAATGTTTATATTTTAGTCTAGTCCGAACGAAGTTAGAGTATGCAAGCATCATATGGAATCCTATTTATATTCACTATTCTCTAATTATTGAAAGAATTCAAAAGTCATTCTTGAAATTTTTAAGTTTTAAAATAAACGGAATATATCCCCCGAGAGGATGCAATTATCCAGAATTGTTGCTCACATTTAATTTCGTTTCCTTGGAGAAACGTAGGAATCTAGCCTCTGTTTTATTCTTGTACAAACTTTTACACAGTAAAATTGACTGCCCTGAGTTATTATCCTACGTAAATATTTTAGTTCCTAGAATTTCCTCAAGATATCATGACACTTTTTTTTGCAAAAGAGCTAAAACGAATTTATTATTAAAGGCGCCAATTAATGTGATGTGTAGCAATGCCAATAGGGTCTCTGATATGTGTGATATATTCTGTTGTAGTATTTCTCAATTGAAAGCTGTATGTCTTACGATTTTATAATGTAGTGCTTAAACATGTACATATTATTTAATTTAATTTTATAAAATTTTAAGTCTTATTTAATGTTTATTGATTTTTTTTATTTTTTTTTTGGCTGTTTTTATTCTGTATCTGGATTTTATCTGTGCTTAATGTTTACTGATTTTTCTATTGTTTTGAATATTTTGTATTTGAAAATAATGTTTTATCTGTACAAATTATCACTAGACATTTTGTTTTGTTACAATTGCTCTGTAAATGGATAACTCTGTTGGGCAATAAATGCTATTATTATTATTATTATTATTATTATTATTATTATTATTATTATTATTATTATTTTCCTTTAACTAAATAATCATCTAAAATAGATTAAATTATTTTTTGTCTAATGAAATACTTGTTCTCGAACAGCTACCGTAAAATTTATTTCATGTTAAATTTAATTACGCAATGCCAGACACTTTTATTAATTTGTTGTCCACCTATCCTCAATATGATCGACATTAATCTCAGTTAAACTCGATGGAAATTTTGAAACCTTCTGTATCCTAATATGGACATTGGAGTGGCGCCTCTATAAAGTTATTATAATACATTTTTTATAAACCTTGTGACACTGCTAAAAATTGTAGTAGGTATCTACCTAAATTATTTTAACATTTCCCGTGTAATATTTTTTTAAGTCAATTTGAATTATGTTTCTAACGTATTGACATTTCGAATAATTTAATTTATACAGCGTGTCCCAAAATTATGGAACAAAATTCATATTTTTTCAGTTAAAATTTAAAAAATAGCTGAAACAGGAAACTTTTCTACAATATTTTTTATTTTTAAAATCCGTAGTCAATCCAGACCAGAGAATTAGTGGAGCTACAATAAGTAAAGTATCCAAAAAGTTTGAAGAAACCGGAAGTACAAAAGAATTACTTGGATCAGGAAGACAAAGAATGGTAAGCGAAAATGTGATTCTCGCCGTTACTGAAAATACTCTCATCCATTAGATCTGTCTCAGACAACTTCAACTTGTCGAAGTCCTCAGTTCACAGAACTCTGAAGTCTCAAAAGCGGCATCCTTACAAAGTTAACGTCTTACAAGAACTATGGGAAGATGACACAGACAGAAGATTACAGTTTTGCGAGGAAATTAATTTATTTGAAAGACAACCCAACTTAAACAATCACATAATTTTCACTGACGAAGCAACTTTTTGCTTAAACAGAATCGTGAACAGCCCAGAAAATCCGCATTGGATGCAAAACATACGCAACGGCTGGAAAAAGTGAATGTTTGGGCTGGAATAGTAGGCAATCGCAAGAGGTTCGCTTGAATGGCCACCACGTTCCCCTGACTTAACCCCACTAGATTTTTTGTGGGGTTATAGAGCAAAGTGTATGTGAACAGACCAGACACTATCGAAGGATTGAAAAATCGTATCAGAGAAGAAGTTCGAAACGTAACATGTTATTTAAAGTGTAATTGATAACTTTGAACATCGAATTGGGCATTGTACAATAGTTAATGGGGGCCACTTTGAACATTTGCTCTAATAAAATAAAAAATAGTAGGTACTAAATTATTATTTTCATTTAACTTCTCCATTTTGACACTATGAGAAAAACGTAGGTATAACCTTATATCGCTGTTATATAAAGCGTCGTATTAAAAAAAATATTGCAGAAAAGTAACAATTTCTATTTAATCATTGATCGTTTCAGTGATTTTTTAAAATCTGAACTGGATAAATAATATGAATTTTGTTCCATCATTTTGGAACACACTGTATAATCATTAATCATGTAATTACATTACATGTAAAAGGCGATTCTTTCTTATTGTGTTCTAGTAATTTTCAAATGTTCATACAAGTCATAAAAATACAGATTCTGTGTAAAAAGATTGTAAGTCGCATTTCCAGCATAAATTAATAATGAGGAGAGAGTAATTACGTTACTACACTGTTTTCCATTTCCTTTTCCAATCATACAATCTATTTCAGTTCAGAAAAAATAAGTTTACTATGTACATGTATTCTGGTTTATTTCAGAATTTTCTGTGGACAGATGTGCCCCCCGAAATGCCCCCGAGGACTCGCAGCTGGCAGCATTTTCTAAGATGTGTTATGAATTTGGTGTTGGTAGAGGAGGATCCTTCGCGGAAGCAAGGGCTTACTGTCAAAGCCACAATGGAGACTTGGTGCACGACATGTCTCCTGGTCAAACGTCCTTTATCTACGCGGAACTTGAAAGGAGGAAACCCAATCTTAAGACACAGTTGGTGTGGATTGGAGCCCAAAAAGAGCCAGGGCTCACGTCTAGAACATGGAAATGGGTTAACGGTAAGTAAGAACGTTTTAAGTGTTACATTATTACGTTTTTTCTAAATTGGTTTAACTGTACTATTCCGAATTCTGTTGATACACCTTGCCCTATAGTGTTTTTACTGAAATCTGAAGAATAAAGTGGTCCATTGGGTTGGGTTAAACTCCTTGTGAAATTAATTTAGACAATCTTTGTCAATGTTCGATATTTTTTTCTTCCTTCTAAGTTAGATGAGCTGCTTTGGCAGTAGCAGAAACTACGCCAAGAATTGGTTGTGGTCCAATAAATTTGATGGCAGCACATTTTATAGGTAGGAAAGCTGTCAACCTTAGAGATTTGAATAACCAGACTATTACGATTTTTTAACTGCGCTATTACTTCTTGACAATTTTATACCATTGGTGAATTGCATCAGTTAGATCCAAAGCTTTTCAGCGTTGCTTGGCTGTCCGTCAAGATTTTTTATAAACTTGCAACTATGTATTCGGAGTTTTGGAACCGTCTGTATACCAACAGCTACCGGTTAGGATGAAAGGAAGTTTATAGTTAATTCGTGTTGGCATAACATCCGACATTGTCCACAGAATATTGTGGCTTTCCATTTCTTCCAGCGATGTCTTGTGTCCCATGGTATTAGATTTGGGCATAATATCAGCTGCTTGCCTTAATCTGTACACTTTCTCTCTCCAATAGTACAAAAAGAGATGAAGTCCAGGAGTATTTACAAAGTAGCCAAAATGTGGAGCTAGTTGTTGCTTTAGTTATCTTCAGATATGCTTGTCTCTGTAAAACAAAGAATTTGGCTTTAGTTATCTTTTAAAAAGACTTCTAGACTACCAAACTATCGAACCATACGTAATCATAGATCTAATGAACCATCACATATAGTCAGTATAGTTTCCATAACTCCTTCTACGTATCCACAATGACGTTCTTACTTTGTGGTGGACCTTCTCCATTTGGGGATTTCAAATGTGATTCATATCTAGCACATTTCGCCTCTGCTGCAAACTGGGACAGGAGGGAGTTCTCAAACGAAATTCCTTTTTCTTAAGAGGTACGAAAATTCTTTTGTGAGAGTTTACAGACATCTGTTCCCTCTTACATGAATCCCCATTTAATACCTCTTGAATATAGATGACAATATTCCCTCAGAGGTTCCTCTTACTAAAATCGTCAGCATATTACCTGAACCTCGAATTTTCAAGCATAAAGTAAGGTTAGCATATCATCCACAAGAAGTGACCAAAGTAAGGGTGGCCCTAATATTTATGCTACCAATTGTGTCATGTTTTACTTTTCATGTTGCTACATTACCAATGGTGGTGTCTATACATATATTTAAAAATATATGGTAGTGACTAGTCGTTTAAGCTTAATTCTTCAATATATCGGATTTAATTCCAACAAAACGCCTTCGCAAATACCTCAATCTGTTTATGAACCTTAAACTAAAGTTGTTTATGTCTATCGGAATCATAAAATCGACTGTATGTTTGTTTTAATAGTTGCTAAAGATATGTTCTAATACGCTAACTATACAGGGTGTCCAAGAATAACGTGTACAACACAAGACTTCAGATTCGTGGACTCAAAATAGGGAGATTCAGGCTAATTCACCTATATCCAAAATCGCTTCGTTTGGCCGCTAGAAGATCTCAAAGTTCGTGAAATTTTTTTGAATTTTGCAAATAACTCGAATATGTATTAATCGATTTTCATTATTTTTGGGGTGAGGACTTTTGCTTTCAATCTACAAATTTTGATGTTATACACAGCGTTTTTTAAAACTCGCAACTCCTACAAAATTGATGTATGGTGATAAACGGATAGTTCATAACTTTTCCTCTTTCGGGCAATAATGACAACTATTTTTTATTTGATTAAATGAGCGATTTGGGTACAAAAAAATGTTTTTTAAATGTATACATTATCTTGCCACCCATATTACAATACTTAACACAGTGCTAATAGGCTCTGATTTTGTAGATTGACTGTAATTTCACACCCTGTATATGTTAATAATTTTACACAAATATTTTGAAAAAGTGATAATTAAAAAAGGACAAATAAAAATCCTATTAGTTATATCTCACAATTTATTTTTTTAATTATTTTACTTTAGATTTGATGAAGTTAAAAAAGACATTAACCTAATCAAATCTTCTTAAGTTATTATAGATCTAACAAATCGGCAATTTAGTACACTACATCTTATAAATAATTATAGACATGCCAAAGATGGTGAACTTTATTAGACAAAAATGAATACTTGTTATAGTTTCCTTCACAGAGAATATGCATTTGTCAGTAACCTATTTGACTAACAATAAGATAATTTTAAAACCATGTTAAAAATCAATTATATATTTCCTTTGAAAGGTGTTAACAAGATTTAGTTCTAAATAGAATTAGAGACATTAGAGACAATCTTTAGAAAAAGGAAATGAGAAAGTGCGAATTTTTTCGTGAGATTATTTTTGTATTGTGTATAAGGAGTTCCTTTTAAAACAAAGAGTGATCTTAAGATCTGTAAAAAATGTTATGTAGAGCGTATTATTTATATATTAGTCTTTTTTGCTGTACGGATAGCGCAGTGCTATCAGAAAATTTCAATAACAAGCTGTGGAAAGTAGTCAAAGTGATAAACTTTATAATAAATAAACTCTATTAATTTTTTTTATTTTCTTTGTGACAAATCTTAGAGTCAAAGAAAATTACTGTAAATCTGTAGAGCGTGCAGGTTATTTTATCGATTCATTTTTGCATAGGTATCTATCACTTTTCTAAAATAATATTGTTTACAAAAAGTCAAAAAACAAATAATTCTCGATCAGTCTGGAAGAAAGATAAAATAGCTTTTATTAACATTTTAATCAGCAATAAAATTTAAAGTGAAAAAGTTCTAAAGCGTCTATGACCCAAAGTTAATTTTTACAAGAAATTGAAATCCCTTCTGTTTAGTAAAAAAATATTCTAGATTGTACCATTCCTGGAATTTAATCATACTTTCAAAAACTCTACCATCGAAAAATTCTTGAATTGCTACACTATCAACACTATACTATGAAGAGGAAAGTCATTTGTTAAAATTAAAGTTATTTATGTTTATTGCACGGTATTTTTTACAGAGCTTTAGAAAACCTTTTATACAAAGATTTTGAATTGAAAAAGTATAAATCTACATATTTACGTACAACTTTTATTTTAATTAACATTTACTTTAATAAATTCTCTCTTTTATGAAGTGAATGTAGAAATTGTAGCATTACCAATTGCAACTGGTTTTTCTTTGGATATTCATTGCCATTAACATTGCTTGGAAACTTTCTAACAATAAAATTTCTTTTTTCGTTTTCTCAATAAAAATGTGAGTGGCTTATTTACAATAAATAAAATATTCGTCATAAATATATCTTAAACAGGACTATCCAGCTTCAAAAATTCAGTTTGGCGTATAGTTGTTTCCCGCAATATCAGCAGTTAATTTATTAAAAACTAATCGATATTTCTAGCCATAACTATTACCTATTTGAAGTATGTGTATTCCAATTCATATATTAGTAGAGGAATTCTAAAACAACAAGATTCTTTCATTTCAATACAGGAATAACCATACGTTTGTACTGCAACTTATCAAAAAGCGTCGTAAATTAGAATGTAGAAATGTTTCTGAATTAACATATTCTATAAAACAAAGACAATATACGATTAATATTAATAGCTCAATAGTAAAGGTCGCAAATCTTTTTGTCACTATTCTATTGAAAACCTACATATTAAAGGTTATTGTTCACGGAAAAGTTGTGATATTTGAAGATATTACTGTTACATGTTTATAAATTTGGTATTTCTGTAGGTGGTAATAAATTTTATTTAAATTTCCTTAAAAAAAATAGTGGGTATTTTTATGTACTATATGCTCTCCTTAACTAATCAAATTGTTTAAACTAATACAATTAATTTCTGAAAGAAATGGCCAAGTTGTCTTTTAAATTAATTTGAAAACTTGTCAAAAATCTGGTGGATTACACTTTTATAATTTAAACAAATAATTCTTATATTGATGCTTGCTACTTTGTTAATTGGAACAAATTATAAAAATTTTCTAAAACCAGAGGTTTTAATGAATTTCTTACCTTTTTATGGGCTGATTTCACAATTTGTTTTACCGTTGCGTCTATAATAAAAAACAAGTGTACGAGGTTTATTCAGAAAATAACGAAACATTTTGAATTAGGTGCTAATGGAGATTTTTAGTGATATGCGGTTGGCAGCATTGCGTGGCGCATAACCTCCTCTATAACCACATATTCTTCGACAATGATGATCGAAGATGATATTCGACCAATAAGGTATTTGACTTTAACTGATGATTCCCAAGTCAAATATTTGGTGTGTGCAAATTGCCGATTGACTGTCAGAGAAATTGCAGAAGATATTACTATCTCGATTGGGTCATACCTTGAAATTTGACCTTCTTACTCTCCAGACCTGAGTTTTGCGATTTTTTCTTATATTAAGCGGTAAATATACCCACGGATAGTACGACGTATATACATAAATAAATTTAATTATATTGACTAGTTGCGCAGTCTATACAATTTAGAATGCTGTTTTCGCAATGCTAGGGCGACAAGGACTGAAAAATTATATATTTCCGCTCAACTTTTTTAGATCAAGTTTACACTCTTAAAGTTTAAGGTTTCTTAGGATAAATAATGTTTATAGAAGATGTCTATAATTATTTATAGAATCACGGGAAAAGATAATATAAGTACGTATAAAACAGAAATATTAAAAGCTTCATATAAATTTTAGACGTGTTTAATTACTTCTACGAAAATGCGCTTTAACGTATTAGCTTTCATTTTTATTTTAACTTATATACCAAGTTCCAAACATAATTCTTGATAAATTTTGTTTCGTTTAGGTTGAATGTTAATCAAAATTGCGAACATGTAAAAAAAGTTAGTAGGTATATAACTTAATCTTTTTTCTCCAAATACCAACTGAC